AACACTGAGGGTTGCGATCCGTTGCCGGACACGGAAAAAGACAAAAAAAAAAAAAAAAGTCTTTCCTTTTAAAATTTCTTAAGGGTAAAGCTAATAGAGTCGACATCAGAATATTTTTGAGCTTTAAATGTTTTGTTAGTAGTTTCCACATCACTGACCACATTTTTTTTCTAGGAAACGAATTCAGGAATTCCTTTGAACCCTTAACTCCAACAGAAAATTAGCCTAAGCCTCTTTTCTGTCTCAATCCTGCATTCTCCATCAGACACGTTTGGAATAGATGCAGGCATTGTCTTTTGTTTAGACAGACCACAGGGTAAACAAAAAATTCTTATATAGTTTAGCAACTCAACTTCCAATGGTGGGCTATGTTTTCTTGAGATCCTACACACGGGAGGCGTGTGGAGAGCAGTTAGTACAAAAAAAAAGTAAAGGTAGGCTAGCAGAGAAGTATATGAGGAAATGGAAGAGGTGCCACAGCCAGGTGAAGTGAAGAAGTAACGCTAAAAACCTTCACAGACAAAGGCAAGACAGCCAGTTTCCAATTTTCTTCTTTTCGTTAGATGAAAGGCAGCCCCCTGCCCCCACCCACAGAGAACTCAGGCCATATCCCCCAAAACAAGGGATACTTCGGAAAGTGCACTCTCTTAACTACCTAAACCCAGTTTGTTCTGAGGTCCCCTCTAGGCCCCAGCTTGAGGCCGTGGTTTGGATGGAATGCAGGCGTGCCCGGACAGAACACATCCTGAATCTCAGCCTACTGACAGACATAGCCTGGTGCTGTTTATGCTCGTATGTACCCAGGCTTCCATACAGCCATATAAATTATAAATGCATCCATAAATCCGCTGGGAGTCCAAATACATACATGGTACAAAAGGGAGACTATTAAATGATATTCATAGAGAAGTTAATACAGGGTTTAAATCTCTGGCTTATCTGGACTAGACATTGAAACAAGAGGCTATGTATAAGCATGGTAACTCTGTAAAAACGTTTTGTTTAAATAGCCCTAGAACCATGTTTTTTAGGCCTAATGACACTGTAGGAATGTTTTTCAATAGCCACATTTGGGTATCTAATGCCATAATAGACACCTCATAGCATTTTTCTAAACTATCTTTGTAAATGCTAAGAAAACCCACTTAGATCAAGGGGTCAGTAAACTTTCCCTACAGGGCCAGAGAGTAAATATTTCAGGCTTTGCAAGCCATATAGTCTCTGTCATAACTATAAAACTCTGCAGTTGTAGTAGAAAACAGCCATAAGAAAATACATAAGTAAATGAGTGTGGCTGTGTTCCAATACAACTTTACTTATGAGCATTGAAATTTAAATTTTACAATTTTTACTTGTCATGAAATATTCTTTTGATTTTTTCCCACCATTGTTACCTTGTGGGCCACACAAAACAGACAGCTGGCTACATTTGACCAGCAGTCCATAATTTGCCCACTCTTGATGAGGATGGTTGAAAGATAAACATTGCTGCTGTCACAGAACAGCTAAAGTGGTGAAGGATTCAGGGAAAGGCAGAACAGGGCGTGAGGAGGCAGAATTATGGAGTCGTTACTAATCACATTTTTTATTTTCTCTGTATCTTGTGATGTTTTGACATCTTGAAAATTTTGTTGGCCAGAAAGAGACTGACCCTGCCAGTGAGATGGAGGTGCTCAGTTTCCTAGGTTTGGGTTTTCAGGACACTCCCTTGAGTTTCAGGCCATTCCTTAAGGTCTCAGGCCCCGCCTCTGGGCCTTCCCCTGGAGGAGAGTTACTGTTGCTGATGCACCTATTTTCGGCACCAACACAGGGACATGGTGACCACAAGGGGCAGATTTGTATCACTTTAGTGGCTGAGCATGTCCAGTAAAAAGGAGTTATACAACCCCAGTGGCTGAGCACGCTCAGTAAAGGGGAGTTTATCTTTTGAATTACCTCCCACTAGAGGCACAGGGGAGCACTAAATATTTCCAAGTGTTTTTTAGTGAAAATGTTGGAATTTGACCAATGAGCATGCTCTAAAAGAGATCAACTGAGCATGTGTATATGTTACATAACTGGGAACCACCCCCCCTTAGTTAAATATTCATTAGATACATGAATATGTGTTAGATAGCAAAACTATAAAAGTTAAATCCCAGTAGAAGGCCGGGCTGCTGCTCACTCTCTCTAGAGCCAGACTGCACTTTGCCTGAGATGTGTATTTCTTTCTTTTTGAATCAAACGCGCCTTTAGCAGGCTGCTGTTCACTCTGGGGTCAGCCTGCACTTCCTCTGTAAATGTGTATTTCTCAGTTTTGTTTCAAACTTCCTGCAGTTGGTTGCTTCCTTTCCTGGAGCCCACCCACACTTCACCTAGAGAGGTGTGTATTCTATGCTTTTGTGTTAAATTTATTTCTATAGGGTAGCTGCTCATTCTCTTGAGCCAGCCTATACTTTGTACTACACTATAAGTGTGCACTTCTTGCTTTTGTATTAAACTTGGTGCAGGCCCTGCTTAGTCTCTGGAGCTAGGCCACACTTTCTCTGTGAAGCCTATAGTTCTTATGTTACATTAAACCTGTTTTCACTTTGTGACTCTCCTCTAGAATTCTTAACTGTGGTGGAGTCAAGAACCTGCTTGAGGACAGAGTGAGCTGAGGCTGGCTGTTGGGCCTCCCCAGATCCTCTCCTCTGGTATCACCAGGGCTAGCCAATTCTTAGAGACAGCAAAGGGCCCAGCCCATGCAAACAAACTAACCTGCGTCTATACTCCCAAACTCGTCCTTTATCTAACTCTCACACACCAGGCCAGTATTTCTCCTGCTCTAAATCATCCCAGGGCCAGGTACCAGGCAACTCAAGACCACCTCATAGGCCAGAGCCTGTTGGAATGTCCAGACTTTCCAGTTCTGCATTGTTTCCCTTGCCCTGCCTCACCTTTCCCGCACTTTTCTCTTGCTCCTGCTCCTGCTGCTGCTGCTGCTGCCTGGCACTGGTGCCTGCCCTGTGGCCCTTCATGGTGTGGCGTGTGCTCTTCTCTTGGGTATAACGTATATTATTTACATTACTTACAGGCATCAAGCCCTAGCCCTTGGTGTTATAAGCACCATGCTCTAACCAACTGAGCCAACCCGCCAGCCCCTTGGTGATGTGGTTTAAAGTCTGGGCTCTGGAAATAGGAGGCCTAGTTCAAATCTTTGTGCCTCTCATTAGCTCTGTGGCCTTGGACAATTTTGTTCTTACTATTTTATATGTTTCCACACCTAAAAAGTGAGAAGGAAGATGCTATGTTAAACACTTAGAAAGTGCCTAGCAAATAGTATTTATTAAATGCTTACTATTACCCATTTTGAGAAAATAAATGCCCATGCACATACGAGTATTCCTGAAGGCAACTTCCTCAAGGACAGCCACACTTTTAGGCACAATCACTTGAACTGAATCACAGCCCGCCTACCCAACAATTCCATCCATCCATATAAGAAAGACGCCACAACTCCTAGCTGCAGAGTGTAAAATATATTGATGGTTGTAAAGGGACAACTTGGAGACATTTTAGGTCTGCTGAGATGACGCGCAGCATACAGACATGCTCTGTTTTTTGAAACTATGTCATTAAGTTTTCAAATACATCTCTGTTTTGAACGTGGTGTTCTGTTTTTTTCATTAGCACGGATTACTACTCTACAATTTCTCCTAGAGTAAATAAATATAATGGCTGTTTGCAGAGCAACTACAGACTTATTTAGATGTTTAACAAGGTGAACTATTTCACAATTAGATCGAACATTGAGTTAACAGCAAGGTGTTTCTCATTTGTTTTGTTCACTGCTACAGTGGGGGGTAGGTGGTAACTTTTCCAATTTACTCTTTGTTTACATTTAGTCACCAACAGATGCCACAAAGTAATGAAAAATAACAGTTGGTTAAAAAAATTAAATTGTAATTATGCTCTGGTTTTCCCAAGACCTTTAAGGTCAGATCATTTAAATTTACAAGAGAGAAACATAATAGGCATCCTGGAAAACTAAGTAACAAAAAACTACTGAAAAATACATCTGTAGAATGCAGTGGTCAGTTGTAAACAGCTCAGAAGGGCAAAGAAACAAGTCCTTCTAACATGTCCAGCAGGCCAGTGACAAACTCTGCCTTTTTTCCCCCCAGTGGCTATTTTCCTACCACAGTGTTGAGCTTCATTATTATATTAAATAACTTACATAAGGGTAAAAAGGAGTTTGCTAACCAGCAGCCAACTCAAAACCTTGTAGGAAGAGGGAGGAGAGGAATTTACAACACAGCACACACTAGAGGGAAACAAAGTCCGCAGTCAGCATCCAACCAGTCTCCTCCACTTCGGGCAATACTGATTGAGCTGAGGTGTGGGGTCTAAATGGGGGGTTTTGAGGCCCCCTCCCTCCTCTCCCTTTTTCATTTAAGTTAACAAAGAAACATGGGCTTCCTAAGAGCCAGCACTCAGCTGGGCAAGTCCCATTAGCAGCAAATGTTCAACCAAATAAAAAAACACACACACAAAAGAAAACTCTGTCCAGGTGCAGAGCTGTGATTCACATGGAAATTCCAAGAGATGAGTCATGTGCAGAGCCGGGATCTTCAGAGGATTCTTTCTCAAGTGTCTTCAGCGAGCATTTCAGTCTCACAAAATCTGAGTCAATCTGTCACTGTAGGAAATAAGTTCCCCATCTGCTCTTGAGTGAACTTGCTTGCTTTGTGGACCAGAGCACTCCGATGACTGCGGGGTCTTCATGATTTTTCCTAGTATGAGATGCCAGAAAACAAAGGCCAGCCCCTCAATGATGTGCATGAGGTGCGGTGGCGGTGGCGGAAGCAGCAGCAGTGGCAGCAATCAGCTCCCATGTGTTAAACTCTGCCGAGGAGGCTGGACCTGAGAAGTAAAACAAACAGGGTAAGACAGGATGTGGCAGACTATTTGAACCAGGATTAAAATACCCTGCCTAATATAAATTTTATCTTTCCTACACTTTTAAGTTTGATTTAGATGGTTAAAACCAGGAAGAAAGAAAAAAAATCAAGCTTTGGAGTCCTACTGGTTCTTTGGGAAAATTGCTAGTCACTGAAAACAAATATTTATTAAGGGAGATGGCAAAAGCTTTGTTTATAGATTAAGATTAATCTATATCTTGAGTGGGTTTATTTTAAAACAAAAACCCCAAATAAAAGATCATTCATGATAAAAAGTTTTAGATAAAAGGCCAGTCTCATCACAGATGGGTTTACTTGTTGAAGATACAAGCATCTTCAACAACATATTCCATGACCATTGGGAGCATTTAAATAGTAGTTGACAAGAAAGGTGTCTGCCCTCAGAGGTGTACTGTCATTGCCACTGATGAATCTAAGTGTCTCCAATGAATGGTTCTGGGTCAGCAGGAAAAACATCCATGTAAAAATATCTTATTGCCTTCAAAGCTAATGTATATATATCAGTTTTCAGGTAGGTACTATCATTCCAGAATACTTAGTCTTAGTATCCACTTAAAATATATGGTTTTGCAAATTTAAATAACCTGTTTTCTTTCTCCTCATTGCTGTTGCTATGCTGGGCCCACACCTGCGGTCATGCTGCAGCACTGCAGGAGCATGGCGGCAGAGAAGCGGTGCGCGGACGCCGGCCACTGTGGGGGCAGAGGAGAGGGGAAGGCCCTGTGCCCACCCTCCGGGGGCTCATGCCGTAGCTGGGAAAAGAACCACATGCACTACACAAACAACACCTGCCTGGCGGCAGGAGGAAGACCGGCCCTAGGAGTGTCTGTCTGAGCCAGGGACTTATCCCGGAGGGAGACAGCCAACGATGGGGGAGGCACTGGAGCTGCGTCAGGAGAATAGACAGGATGCGGAAAAGGCAGAGGACATGCATGGCTTACACACAGACATGAAGGAGAGTTTGTTCTTCAAGGGTCTTTAAAAAACAACTTTAACATGGAAACTATAGTCTTTTATACCAAAGAATATAGCTTCACTGTGTTTACACACATATTTGCTTATACACCATTCCTTTTACTTGGGCCACTGCTAGTCCCCCAAGCAGTTCTTAGCAGCAGCATCACTACCGAGCACGTCTGAGTGGAATACAACTGCAGGTAGGTTCATGGATTCGTGTCTCAATTTAAGCCAGTACACTCCCTTTTTCACCTCGTATTTCCAAATTCTCCACTACATTTCTTTGGTCACATTTCAACCAATCAAATGTTAAGTGTTGTTGTATGATGTGAGTATAGTATATACAGATATGGGAAGAGATTATACAATTCAGTCTTTAGCTTTTACTATCAAACTTTTAACCTTCAAACCTTTCCAATCTAATCAATAATCAATAGGAGTATGATATTAAAAAAAAAATGATATTTAAAAAAACCTAGACAATTAGAAAAGAATTGTAGCTAGGTCTGAATTATTTTAATATGTCTGGATGCCGTGGGTAATGCTGATAGCAGGTATCATTTATGCATAGCCAATTTGCTTACCGATATTTTAAAAAATCTACAAGAGAAATAATAATAGCTAAACTATACCCAGGGACCTCACCAAACTTACTATTTTTTAAAAATAGAAAGGGAAATTAGAAAGGAGAAATATGGAAGGCAAAATTCATCTAAAAAGGACAATATGAAGGAGCAATTCCTAAATCTTTTATTCAACAAGATGTACACTTTGAGGCTCATGTTTTGCACTTGAATAATATTAAGGAGTATAATAAAAATCTTTTAATACAAACACAATGTAATATAAATTTTTAATTGAAATGTGCTATTGGCAGACACAAAATCTAAAAAAAATAGATTTGGGCATGAGCCCGACAAGTCTGTGATATTCCCACACCTCCAAGCATTGGCCATACCTTCTCTGTGTTTGTGTCTGGGGATACAAAAAACATCTCCGATCCTTTACCCATCACTGGCTCTAAGGATAATAATTCCAATGCCTCTGAACCTCATCCCTCCTCCCTAAGAGGTACAAAGAAGGCCTAAATTTTCCTTTGAAACAAACACAATCACACAAAACCAAGTATATCTTAGATATCCTGGTCATGAAATCTAGCCTAATTTCAAGTATAATGATGGCTCACAAATGACTCTGGGACCACAAAAGGAAGATGAGAAAATGGGCTTGTCAACCCCAATGCAAAAAGGTATACATTTCCAGAGTTTCTTAGTAGAAACACTATGACAGCAATTTTGACTATATTTTACTATATCTTGGGCTGCTTATGCCTATTAAAGTATCTCAGATGCTCAAAATCCAAATTTACCCATCCTAGTAATGTTTGAAAATACTAATAGAATAGCAAAATTTTTAAATTTGAAGAAACTCCATAATCGCAAGCCTCGGCGTTGCTCCCGCGCCTCGCTCAGCCAGTGAGCGGGAGCCGGTCTGTATGTGGGATCCGAACCCTCGGACGGGAGCGCCGCCACGCTTCCCAAGCGGCGCACTATCCAGTGCGCCACCGGGCCGGCCCTATGACAGCAATTTTGACTATATTTTACTATATCTTGGGCTGCTTATGCCTATTAAAGTATCTCAGATGCTCAAAATCCAAATTTACCCATCCTAGTAATGTTTGAAAATACTAATAGAATAGCAAAATTTTTAAATTTGAAGAAACTCCATATTATGTTTAAAGTCCCAACTCTCTGTCAGACCAAAGAGGGGAGGACTGACATCTGGTTGGTATGTGATACACCCAACTTTACTGAGCCAACTGGTACTTAGTTCTTTTTTTATCTTAGGTCAAATAAAATTTTAGTGTTAGAAGAACTATTCAGAAACAAGGTCTAAACTTATTAGCTGATGCTTTTTTTTTTTTTTAACCATGCCATGGGGTAATTTCAGTTCCTCATTCCATTAAATAATGAGAGAGAGAAAGAACTGAGTCACTATATATTGCCATTATAAAAAAAAATGAAAAGCAATAAAACCAAATGATGGCAATGAGAATTCTAAGCCACAAAGATTTGGTTAACAGGAGATAAGGTAAAGAGGACCTGGAACAGGTAGTCAGGGGCCTCCCATAGAAAGCATGTGGCTTTCTTCAAGTAAAACCAACATTTTCTTTAGATTTGTACAGCAATGAGACCCACCTTAAAGACTTCCATCTGTCTTTCTCTACATGATTTTCAGGTCCTTCACTCTCATAAGAAGCCAAGTAGAGAGCTGCAATCAACCAAAAGAAAGAATGCGTTAACACTGAAGCCATCTCCCAATATATTATCCACCACCATCCATCCCCTATTCAAGATTAGCAAAACCCTACAGCAAAACACGGTCTTTAAAATATAAAATTATATTGGTAAAGGGCCACAAAAATAACTACATTGTAAAAAATAAACAAACAACAACAAAGAAATTATAACTGAGAAGCTTAACTGTTTCATGAAGAACACAGAATATCACTTTGCCTCTGATTGCCCATCTCAACAAAAACCCCAGGGCCTCTAGCCAGACAGGCACTTAATTAGCTAAGAATTTACGAGACAAAAGGCTTATGAGCCTTTTTGCAAGCCATGTGATACTGTCATACACTCATAGTTATGTTCTCTAAAAAGAAAGAGGTGAGGTCCTTTCCTAGTTTTTAAAAAATTCTTAGTAAGTAAAATGCCAGATTTTCTAGGCCAATTTCCCATCTTTGTACTATTTTTTTCTTCCTTTTAAAATCAGACAGAATCTTCATCTGAAAATGTAAAAGCTTGTTATTAATCCTATTGACAGAGATTTAAAACAACCAAGTCCCCTCTGGAATAGATAAAATCAATTCAAAATATTCTTCAGTCATTACTGTAAACTATCAATCTACTACTACCAATCTACATGAGAAATTGTTAGTTAATAGGTGCTATTGATTCCTATAATATTAGGATATAATAAATCAATAGAATAAATGCCCAAATCTTTTACATACTCTCTCTTCTGGTGAATTTTTTGTACACATATTGAATCACTTTCTGCCTCAGTTTCCCTAATGTTTAACAGGTCAAGACTTTACACTACTTTTTTAAACAGCAGGGGGTAGCAATTTACAGTTTTGGTTTTTCTTCCTGAACTTACTTTAACTACCAATATACTACAAAAAAACTTTATCTCCACTGAAGCAAGCCCAAACAAGAAAAAAAAAANCTGCAGGTAGGTTCATGGATTCGTGTCTCAATTTAAGCCAGTACACTCCCTTTTTCACCTCATATTTCCAAATTCTCCACTACATTTCTTTGGTCACATTTCAACCAATCAAATGTTAAGTGTTGTTGTATGATGTGAGTATAGTATATATAGATATGGGAAGAGATTATATAATTTAGTCTTTAGCTTTTACTAGCAAACTTTTAACCTTCAAACCTTTCCAATCTAATCAATAATCAATAGGAATATGATATTTAAAAAAACCTAGACAATTAGAAAAGAATTGTAGCTAGGTCTGAATTATTTTAATATGTCTGGATGCCGTGGGTAATGCTGATAGCAGGTATCATTTATGCATAGCCAATTTGCTTACCGATATTTTAAAAAATCTACAAGAGAAATAATAATAGCTAAACTATACCCAGGGACCTCACCAAACTTACTATTTTTAAAAAATAGAAAGGGAGATTAGAAAGGAGAAATATGGAAGGCAAAATTCATCTAAAAAGGACAATATAAAGGAGCAATTCCTAAATCTTTTATTCAACAAGATGTACACTTTGAGGCTCATGTTTTGCACTTGAATAATATTAAGGAGTACAATAAATATCTTTTAATACAAACACAATGTAATATAAATTTTTAATTGAAATGTGCTATTGGCAGACACAAAATCTAAAAAAAATAGATTTGGGCATGAGCCCGACAAGTCTGTGATATTCC